TTTTTTTTTTTTTTGAGTATTTGGACTTGGAGAGGGCCTGGTTGGACCTTTAGTTTCCCTCTTTTGGGCCAGACCAACTGTGGTCTCTGAAAGCCGTAATGATCAGTCTAGAAAGGCTGTCTTCTGGGTCAGGTACCGAGTCCTTCATTTTGTTCAAGGTTGCCAGGTTACATGACCCAAAAGCACGGCAACCTATATAGGAGAGGTGGCCTGTGGCAGGCAGTCCAATTCATGGATTGTTAATATAAGAAAAATAGGGACAGCCAGAACGCTGACGGTGAGCTGTTGCGGGGGGTTTTCATGGCACCAGGAGGCCGGGAGCAAGGATGCGCTTAGGAAAGTTTGATTTGGGTGTGAATGTGATAAGGGGACAGAGGTAGGACAGGGTCTGAAAGGTGACAGGGACCAGGTAAAATCCGGTGTGTCGTCTAGGAATAAAGAGGGTTGGAGGGGTGCAAAATGACTCTCTCCTTTGTCCTTGTAGTCCAGCATGAGTGCATCCCCCAGGCCATTCTGGGGATGGATGTTCTGTGCCAGGCCAAGTCAGGCATGGGAAAGACAGCGGTGTTTGTCCTGGCCACACTGCAACAGCTGGAGCCGGTTACCGGGCAGGTACGCCGGGGCCAGGGCTGGGGGTTCTTGGGGTTGATAATCTGGAGCTGGCCTTCCCCGGCTGTTCAGGGGCGTGTTCTGTTGTGACAGAGGACTGACTGGTGTGTTTGCCCCTGTTTGCTCCTTCCAAGGTGTCTGTTCTGGTGATGTGCCACACTCGGGAGCTGGCTTTTCAGATCAGCAAGGAGTATGAGCGCTTCTCAAAGTACATGCCCAACGTCAAGGTGAGGGGGGGACCCTGCACAGGGAGGCATGGGGGCTTGGAGGCTCCAGGAACTCTGGAGCACAGTGACTAAGGCATTAGCTGCAAGAGGCCCTGTGCTGTCACTTCTGACTTCCTTCAGGCTGGGGTGCTCTTGTGCGGCTGCCCTTGCCGGTTCAGTGGTGTGAACACAGGTGTATGTTCCTGAGCTCTGGCTGAGCTCTGCTGGTTCTGCCACAGAACGCTTTGACTAGTTAGGTGGGTAATAGGTTTGGGTTGCAAATTCGGCTGCCCCTGGGCCCTGAGTTTATACTTACGATTCTCTTTCCAAGTTAGCCTGGTAGGCCTCAGCCTAGACACAGCAGGCCGTGAGCCTGAGCTTCCTGAGTAGTTGGGACAGGCTTTTGCCACCTGGCTTGTTCTCCTGTGCTACTTGCTGGATTGCTTGAGAGTGTGGGACGGGCTGTGGCAAGAGGAAGCAGAGGCTCTTGGAGCTGTTCTGTCCTATACAGAGAGCATGGAGCTCCCTGGGTCTGTTATTCAGAAAGCTCCTAATGTTGGGATCAAATCCGAGGCTGGGTGTGGTGTGTGAGCTTGTGGATCAGCTGGTTGGTCTGAGAGCGCCATCCCTCCCCTCCCTCATCAGTTACCTTCCTAGTGGGAAGATCAGAATTCTCTGCCAACTTTCTTGACTAACAAAGTGTCCTGGGGAACCTGTGGAGTCACTCCCTGAGTTGGGGTTGGCTTGTTCTCCCCTCAGTGGTTATTACAGACTGAAACTTGACATTTGAAAGCTTGATGGATACAAGGGAAAACATTTTGAACAGGAATGCTCCTGTTTGCCACAAACCTTGTTAACCATTTGTGGTTTTGGGATTGAGAAAGGGGGAAGTTGTTTCCCATAAAACAAACTTCCTGAGTATTTCTTTCCCCGTGACACTGGGCAAGTCCATGTGCTACATAGTGTTAAAGCTCAGATCCCAGCATTCACCTAGTGGATACACAAGACATGGCCTTCATCTCAGGAGGCAGAGGTTCCGGCCCAGCCAGAGCCATAGACTGTCTGAATGCCAGTTCAGTTAGGAAAGCTTGGCTGTGGGCTTGTTTTTGTTGTTTGTTTGTGGTACCTCACACTTACCTGGTGGCTTCTTGCTGTCTTCATTCTTGTGTGGAGGCCTTTAGTGTCATATGTGCCTCACTGTGTAGGCCCGCTAGGGCTGGATAGAGAGGTCCTGTCAAAGTCTAGGGAAGCAAAGACTGCCCGCCCACCCCTACTCCCCACTAGCCCTGCAGGCTGAGCACCTCACTTTGTGCCTTGCCTGGATGGTTGGAGGCACAGGAGTCATTGCAGCCCTGTCAGCTAACTACACTCCGCTAAAAGGGCACGCTGGTGTTGGCCAGGGAGAGCCATGCCTTCCCTGTGCACTTGGGCCACAGAGACAGGCTGGTCTACAAGGCGTGTTCTAGGCCACAAGGGCTACACAGTAAGACCTTGTCTCAAAAAAGGAGGTGGGGAGAGAATGGGAGCACCTGAGACCTCGGTTTCCTTCTTGTGACTCTCCTGTCGCCTGACAGGTGGCAGTGTTTTTTGGCGGTCTGTCTATCAAGAAGGATGAAGAGGTGCTGAAGAAGAACTGCCCACACATTGTCGTGGGCACTCCTGGCAGGATTCTCGCCCTGGCTCGAAATAAGAGCCTGAACCTCAAGCACATTAAACACTTTATCTTGGACGAGTGTGACAAGATGCTTGAACAGCTCGGTGAGTGGCGGTGCCTGGCCGGTCTCAGGCGTGGGAGGAGCTGCCCGTGGAGCCAGATGATGCTTGTTGGACACAGGAGCACTTGTGTGCAAGGACGACTCTTGATCTATCACCCATGACTGATGGCTCCGGGTCTCCTTTTCTTCCCCTGGGGCTGGGCATTGAGCTGGGGCCTGGTGTGAGCTGATGTGTGCTGTGTGGTGAAGCCACACCTTTCTCCTCGCCCTTCCTTTCTGTGGTGCAGAGTGAAATGAGCTGCTGATAGAAGCCAGTCCTCCATGCTTGCCCTGTGGACAGATGCTGTGCTGTTCAGCTAGAGCAGGCCGTGCCAGCCCTTGCATCCCAGCATAGCAAGCGTGGTCAGGGTTCACACGGGAGCAGGGTTCTGGAGGTAGATTCTGTGCTTCATCTGGGGAACGATCACAGCAGGTCATGTGCTCAGGTGGGAGTGTGCCACGTGGGGGTAAAGAAAGTTCTCATCCCGAGTTTCTCTGGGCGATGCTAGAGAAAAGGCACGGGCTGCCCTTTGGGAGGACCTGGGGTCGATCCTCACCCACATGGCAGCTTATAATAGTTGTAATGGCAGAGGATCTCCTCCCTCTTAGCCTCCGTGGGCACCATACAGAAGTAGGGTGCAGACAAAACACGCACACATTAAAAAGCAGAGCAAGAACTGTGGGGGAAGAGCTGCAGCGCTGGTTCTGTGGTTAAGAGCACTGGCTGTTCTTCAGAGGTGATGGAGCTTCAGTTCCCATGGGGATCTGCAGCTCCTCTGGCTTCCTTGAGCACTAGGCACATACATGTTACATGCAAGCAAGAACATACGTACATAGTATAAATTTAACCATCATGCGGCACCAGGTGGTGGTGCTTTAATCCCGGTATTTCCCAGAGTCTAAGGCAGGAGCATCCCTGGCTGGTCTGTAGAGAGAATTCAAGGTTATCCAGGACTACGTAGAGAAGCTCGGGAGAAAACAAAGGAAGAGATAAGCTTACATGCCCTTAACCCCAGGTGGATATGAGTCACAGGCCAGCCAAGGGCTACATAGTGAGACCTTAGCTTTAAAAAGCAACAAAACAAACCAGAAAAAGAGTTTGCTCTTAACTGAATTGGCAGAGTAGAAAAAGAGTGGAACTCCAGGAAAAAGTCTTTCCAAATGGCCTTTGGCTATCCCAAGATGACAGAAAAATGGTGAGCCATGGAGAGTCCATGTTTGCCTGGCTGAACAGGGCTGTGAGACTAGAGCTGAAGGTGGAAAGCACAGAGTTCACTGATGTCTAAGTAAGAGCTGGAGACTGGCGTAGGAAGAGCAGCTGGGGAAGGGCCTTCAGAGATGGGTGTTGGTTTTCTTGTGTGTCCATGCGTGGTCTCTGTGTAGCCCTGTTTAGCCCAGAACTCACAGAGATCTGCCTACCTCTACCTCCTGGGTGATGGGGTTAAAGATGTGCATGACCACACCTGGCAAAATAGTTTTTTAGTTTAAGTTTGTTATTTTTAACTGTGTACTTGTACATACGTGCTCATGCCCGTAGAGGACAGAGGCATTGGGTCCCCTGGAGCTAAGGTACAGGGTCCTCTGAGAGAGCAGCGAGGGCCCTTGACTGCTGGACTCTCAACCCTCGTGCTTCGTGTTTAAGATGGTCCCTGAGCCTCGTCACCATTTTTGTAAATTTGGACTTTAGGTTCAGTCATACTTGGTGGCTGAAACAGGAGTGGAACCTGACCTCGTGTCTTTGTCGACGCGTTGCTTTTTCTGTGTTGTTACTATCCACACCTCCTGGTCCCCCCTGCTCTACCTCCTAAGTGCTAGGAGTTCAGGCATGTGCCACCAAACCCAGCCTGCTCAGGAGATGGTGCAGAGGAGGTCACAGTCCTGGAGTGACTTCCTTCCGTTTTCAGTGGTTGTGGCCTCACTGCTCATAAGTCACAGACTCATTTTCTTCTGTAAATTCTCTTCTTGCAGACATGCGTCGGGATGTCCAGGAAATTTTTCGCATGACCCCCCATGAGAAGCAGGTCATGATGTTCAGTGCTACCTTGAGCAAAGAGATACGCCCAGTCTGCCGCAAGTTCATGCAAGATGTAAATACCCTTCTACCTTCTCTCCCTCCACTCCCCGCCCGCTGCCTCCTCCCTCTCCTCGCCCTCTTCCTCCAGACTCCCCTGTCCTTCAAGCACCAAGAAGGGAAATTGTGCCCATCTGGGAGCAACAACTCCTTGAAGAAACACAGAGGCAGAGACAGTTAGTGGTAGGGTCTGCGTGCCAGGGAAACTCCGGAAGACTTGGTCGGGTTAACGTGAGAGCGGGTAGTGCTTGACATTTTTTTGACATTTCACAACACAACATTTTTGAACCTCTTCTCCCTTTCGGGGGTAGGGCAAGATTTTGTGCCCTGTCACCCTCCCATCGTCTCCTCCACACCCCCCTCCGCCACGCACCCTCCAGGCGGCATGGAGCGTTCAGCTGGAGCCTCGGCTCACCGAAAGTCACACATCTCAGTGGCAGGAGAGCAAGAGAGGGACAGTTAGGGTCAGGGCCTGTCCAGAAGAAGAGCAACAAACAGCACCAGAAATCTGCCCTTCCCAGCCACCAGGGGCGGGGGCCTTTGGCACCTCAGCCCCCAGTCCCCTACTCCTTCCTGCACACACCTCCTTGTGCCCATCGGAGCTGTGGGTGATGAGCTGGCAGCAGAGAAGCACTGAGGCACGGCGGGAGAATGCAGACCTGCGAGCGGTGGATGGCAGCAGCGGAGGCCTCGGGAGCCTGACCAGGATGCTGAGGACCAAACCAGCCTCTTTTTCTGTTCCCGGTTTTTTCCTGAACCTAATGTGCTGTACCCCGTGGTCCCCATACTTGTTGGGGGAGGGGTGTCCTGAGTGGGATGGTGGGAATGTTTTTTTTTGT